TCTTGGGATCTACACAATCCTCTGAATGTATCTCTGTCTTTAGATTACCCTGGGTTGTAGAGGTCGAGCTCTTACTGTATCTTAGTGAATCAGAGTTCAGCTAACTTCTAAGCTGCTCACCCATCTGAGAGAAACCAATCTGTTCTGAACTTGAAAGCTCCTGACTTCAAAGGCCATCTAGAAGAAACTGTTCTTGATCTCTTGCCCACTCCAGCATGCAAGCCAAATCTCATCCGTGATAGTAGTTGACCTTTCAGAAGTCGCTCCTGCAGACAAGCCCATTGCCAAGTCTTTCCCTTCCCATGCAAAAACATCAGCTATAGGCCCTGGGTCACTCCTCTCCCTGGACAAGTGACTGCTGAGAGTGGCCAGTGCTGACTGAAGACCTACTCTCTGGTTAGCGAGTCTGTGTGACTCCTGGGAATCCCAAATACCAAGTGTTTCATGATTTTACCTCGGTTATGTCCTTACGTTTTGGCCTTTGGGAGAATAGATGGCAGAGTATTTGGTTCACTTTTACTTGGTGAAATAGAAATAATGAATCCCACAAAGTTATGTTGCATGGCAGTGGGCCCTCCTTTTCCCCGAATAACTTTCTAACACATTTGTCTGAACCTAAGATCAACGTTATCACTCTCATGTGCTTTACACAAAGGTTTTCTCAGGCAGTGGAGGACAGGCAGAGGTCACAGCCAGGGAGCTGCAGCATCCAGTCCCTCCTCTCCAGCCTGACTTGTCAGTGTCCCAGCAGCCTGCAGTGGGAAGGGCAAGTGAGGAGATCTGCTGAAGCTGCAGCCATGGAAACAGCTCCAGAACTGCTATTTGGTGGTGACTTGCAGGAATGCCCCATCCCTATGCTCATCACTCCCAAAGGTGGTGTGCTACCGTCACACGTGGAAGGCAGGAGGCTGGTGAGAAGGCTGGAATAAGGCTGGGCGGAGGGACTCAGGAGAAAATCCTCTCACCCTCCAGGGATTGGCATCCTGGTGACTCAAATGAGGCAAAGCTATAGGAGCAGGGCTATGGGGTTCCTTTCACCAAGTTCAGTAAGTTATACCCTATGCCAGGCATGTGGCAGGAGCTGAACTAATGGAAGGAAATGATTCAGAATTCGTATCTGACGCCCAATTCATACTCCATGCCTCCTCACCTGCCAACATGGTCAGTGGCCTGATGACGAAGAAGACCTGGGTCATGGTTTTCCTCTGCCTTTTATTGGGGTGACATTTTAATTGAGCCTTGTTTCTTGTGTGTAAAATAAAGGCATTGGGCTATATTGCTTCCATGCCCAACTCCTCTCTTTTATGCATATGGTAAAATGGCACCTTCCATGGTACCTTCAAGGCAGTCTGAAGAAAACTTGGAGGGCGGTTAAGAGGAGGGTACATGGGGCTTGGTCAGCAGGCTGATGTGGATTGGCCATGAAAGAGATGAGGGGGGGTCAAGGGTTACTGGGGGGTATCAAGACAGGCAGGGTAATGCCCTGGGGTTTCTCTTGGCTGCTAGAGGGAGCTTGGGTCTGAGGCAGGCCTAAGTGTCAGGATACCTAGTTGTCTAGGCCCCTAAATCCTGTCAAGTCTGAGATACAGATGTCTAGTCTGATACAGACCAGATGGCATGGAGAAGAAACTGTCATGGAGAAGAAATGTGACTATACCCTGGCCACATGCTCCCTTTCTCTGCCTGTGAGGAGGCTGTAATAGAGCCCGGCCATCAGGCCGGTCTCCGCCGTCTCGCTGACTCACTGGAACCATGGTGATTCTGCTTTTTGGGTCTCCTCCCTGCCGAGCAGGACCGGGGCACTTCTCCTTTGGAGTTGGCAGAAGTGGTATCTTGCTGAGTGCAGGAAGCTTTCTTTTGGGGACTTTTGTTTTTATTTTGTTTTCCTTCGTTTTCCTAAAGGGGCAAAGTGAACACAACTCTGGGGTGACTACAAGGAGCCTAATTTGGTCTCAAATCTACCACCTTCTCCTCTCTCTGTAGGGATAAAGGATGGGTGCAAGTTGTGCCTCTGGGCAGGACAGGAGTAGGACAGGACAGGACAGGACAGGGCAGGGCAGCATGGACTATAACTCCTGGTATAGGAAGGAGCAGAGAGGAATGTCAAAGTCTTGGGCAGGAGCCGGGCATGGAGGGGAGAAGGTACAGGCTCTGGGCCCCAGGAGAGGACTTGGGGCAGGGCTGGGAAAGTTCTGGAGGCTCAGATATGAAAGGTGGGGAAGAAAGGGCAAGTTGGACAACACAGCCTCCTTTCTCTGGGAGGGAGAGGTGGCCCCAAGGGTCCAAGGCCTTTCTGCAGTCCACATTAGGCTGGTAGAGTGAGAGGTGTCGATAGGCTGAGCAGCCAGTTGAAGCTGTGGCTGAGGCTGGAAGTCAGAACTGGGGCATCAGCCTTTTCACAGGAGTTTATCAGGTGATGGGCTCCTGAATCTCCTGCCCAATTCTGGGCCTCACATTATAGGAGGCAGAGTGATTTTAAGGGGACAAATTCCACAATAAAATATTAAGTGCAAAAATCAGAGTATCACATGTGTGATGTTAACCATGATAGTGCTTATTAACATGGGGTTGTGTGATACATGTACAGAAGTTATATTGGAAGCAGCTGTGGTGAAGTAGTCACACTGCTTTTCTCAGAATTAGGAGCAATGGGGATTTTCACTTATCAGTAAGTTTAAAGTATCTTCAAAATTTCTGTTACTTTTATTCTGGGAAAACATTGTTCAAAATGCCTTGGATGAACTATAAGAGAGAGACTTGGGTTGGGTGGAGTCTGTGATTCACACCCACCTGTGTAATAATTGGGTGCCCAAGTCATTACGCAGGAGTATCTTCCTAGGCCAGGAAAAAGGCCTAGAGGCCTATGCTTGATGTTCCCAGCTCAGACGCTCTGGGGCTTATGGTCATGGGTTGCTGCCTGTGTCTCACATGTTCCAAATGCACGATCCATAAAGGTGGTCCCCATGGGAATTGCTTCTCTGACAATGGCACATAAATCCTAGATCTTAGTCATGCTTTGGAACCCCTTAGTCTCAGTGGGATTTTGCTGACGAGTATTGTCTCTGCCAGACAGAGAAAGACCCATTTTTCTTTGATTGAGACCCATTTCTTACTCATTCTACTTCTCTCCACCCGCCCCCCCTTGTCCTGATGATTCTAAGGTAGACCCACCTGGAGCTCCAGCTCTGGGAACCCCTCTCCAGACTGTAAACCTTGTGGTGAAATGGATTGATAATGTCCTGTTTAATCAGACAGATGCACACCTTGTTACCTTAGGAAAAACACTTCAACTTCAAGAATCTTTGGTCATCATCTGTAAGATGAGGTCAACTACTTCTAAACCACAAGGTGGTTCAGAAAATTCAAAGATGTCAGGTGAGTAACATGCCCAGAAGAATGTCTAACCCCAAGTAGAGCCTTAACAAATGTTTATTTTCTCCCCTTTCCCTTGTGTAAATTTATTAACAACTACCTCAGATATACCTGTGATGGTTTTATTTTTACCTATTAGGTCACAGAGGCACAGAGAGGCTAAGTAACATGTTGAGGGTCACACAGCAAGTGGGCAGCATACTTGGACTTCCATCCCAGGTGTGTGGGGAGTGCCTTCATAGTCAGGATTATGTGAGGGATCGTACTTGACATGTAGCATGCAGCACATGTCGAGCTATGGGAATGAGTCCACTCAGATAAATGGGCCCAACCCTCACTCAGTGTTCACCACAAGGAAATCTGCCATTACCATTGCCTGTCTTCTCTGTAGTGACTGCCAACTGCAAGGTTAAGGCTAAGAATTTCATCATGTCAAGTGGAATTAGGGACTGTCAATATAAAGACTTTTGTACCCTTCCCTTGTGCCTCTCAGGTTACCAGTATCCAGTAACGCTATTAACCTTTTCTTCAAATATGTCTGATGATCTGATGTGTGCAGGGCATAATTACGGGTACTGTGGTTAAAGCAATGAATGCAACCCTTGAAACCTGGGTGTCCATAGAGTTTTCCTCTTGTGGGGGAAGAGAAAGAAAATGCACACATAAGGAAAAGTTATAGGAGCACAAATTGAGTTAAGTACCCTGGAGAAAAACCGAGGAGGGAAGGGACAAGGAAGTGTAGTTAGGGAGATTTGGTCTTTTATGTATATGGTGGCCAGGAAATGCCTCATGGAGAAAGTGGCAGCTGAGAGCAGAAAGAGGGGTGGCAGGAAAGTATGACATCTTCTGGAGGAAGTAAGGAAAAGTCCGAGAACCAATAGGAAAACTAATCTCCCTAACTTTCCTCTCTAACTTTCCCTCTACATACCCTTTCCAAAGATCAGTCCAAATAGATCTCCCTTTTCCTCCCCATAACAGCAGTGTAAATCTCTCCCACTGGAATCATTTATCATGTCTGCCTTCCTTGACAAAAATGGATGAATAAAGCTCAAGAGAAGCTGAGATGGTCTTCATGTTTTCCCCACTTTTTCCTGGCCTGTCCTGTTCATCCTATCCATCAGCGATGTCTTCTACACTGAGCAGTCAGACCATATCTGGAGTATTGGGCTCTGTTCCTGATGCCTCACTGTGAGGGGCAAAGTCCCACTGGAGGTCATGCTGAGGCGATAACCCAGGGTGGTGTGGTGCCTGAAAAGGACGGACTCTTTTATAGGTGCTTAGTGATCCCAGCTGTATTATATGTGAAAGGAGGTCATGTGGATGTGGAGTTAGAAATGTTCTGTGTAGACCAACATATGAAAACATAACCAAAGAGATTCTATGCCAATATGAATTAATATCTTATGATAAAATGAAACGGGGTGTCTGGGTGGACTGAATTCCAAGTAGCCGGAGGAATGCAAACAAGGACAGGATGTACCCTGTTCTGGGAAAGTTGTAGAGAGCATTCAGGTGGTTTGAGCTGAAATTCATGATTCTGCGATTCTAGTGGGATGCCTGAGGGCAGGTGATGAGAATAAATAAAGCTGGAACCTCTCACTGGGATGTTCTCAGGAAAAGGCCCCAGGATGTTCCGGTTGCTTCTACTGGGCATGTTCGCAGTGCTCTTCATGGATGAGGGTAAGCTCTGGAGAGGGACACACGAATGGGTGGTGAGAGAATGTATGGAGTGGGAGAAAGGGGTTTCTACACTTGGGTTTTGGGGCTGCTGTGAAATCATTTAAGAAAGTTTTTCTTCTCTTCACAGGAGACAGAGTCCTGACATGGAAATGTACGGTGTAGCTGGTTTGTCGTTTTTGGATAAATAATGCCACAGTGAGGGAGACATTCTTGAGTTCTCTACACATTGTCCCCTCCCCACTCAATACTCCAGTGTCTTCTTTCCTGCCTAGACTTGGGAGGGTCCCTGACTTCTTTGGGGGTCATAGCTGTTACCCAATCAAGGGAGTAAGGTCCCCTGACAGAGGCCAGGACTAGTGTCAACTTTCTTCTCATGAGGTTTGCACCACTTCGATATAAATGTTTCCGGGTGGGAAGAGACTTCTGAAGCAGAATCACTTTCCCTAGTGCTGTTCTTTAAAGTGCCTCTCTTTTTCAGGGGTTCGATTTTGCAATTCCTGTGAACGCTTTGATGGATCCATTTGCCACGGTGGCATGAAAAGTTGCTGGAAGTTTAATTTATATTCGAAAAACAGGAGTTGTGCCACAGATCACTATTACTTTAGTGATCTCACTACAGGTAGGTGGGGGGTGGTGTTACAGAGAGACACAAAATATCACCAGTGGTGCCCACAATGCTTGGAGCCAAGTTGTGGAGGGAATCTGGAATCATGGGAGAGGGTGGGAAGAGGGATTCACCCTACACAGACCTGGGTACGGGGGCCTGTGTGGGAGGCAGATGTCTTCTGCCTGGTCATGGCTAGAGAGACACAGACCAAATGCAGACACAGTCTGGGGGCTTAGTCCAGTCTACAGAAAACTGAGGAGGTGCTGGAGAGAGGTCATTGCTAGGAAGGTGATGAAATGTGGCAGACTGACCACATTTGCCTTTCTTCCCTTTAGGGAGGTATCTGTTCCGTTATACAACACTGTCTTGCAGGCCCTGTGATGAGGGAATGTTCCAAGTATTCCACGACCTTCTGAGAGAAACAACTTGCTGCATTAATGAAAACAGGTGTAATACTGGCAGAGATAATTTAGATATTACGAGGGTTCTTGGAGCAGAGCCTCAGGATGAAATAGTGTATGATTCATAAAATTATGAATGATTAAGGTTGTTAGACTATATCTCCTTGTAGCCTTGGCCCTTTTTTTTACCCAATGGTAATACCATCATCTTACATTTTCCCCCAAACCACTCTCTTCTCTATTCCAGCATATCTACCTATGGAAGCTCTGTCTTTCCAGTGTCCCTGTTTCCATTAACAGGCAAGGGTAAATATCTAGGTCAGAAAAACCTCAACTCTGCCTTCTGGTTGGATTCCTCGGTCTTTGCTACCTGGTACCACCTGGCAGTCTCCACTTGCCCTTAAGTTCTGATGCTACACCTGGCCTGAAGTTAGAATTCTAAAGTATTTTGCAAAGGAAGCAAAGTAGTTTTTATGGTAGAGCTTCTGGGGGAATATCAGGAGAAAGCAGATTGGATAAAAATAGGGAGAAAGTTACCAGAAATTTTGGGAGAATGATTTGAGAGGAGAGTAGGAAAGTATTTGATGCGGGGGGCGGTTGGAGGTAGGGCTTATATTAAGAAGGGGCTTGGGAAAGTCAATGTGAAATTAGAAAGCATTAGAAACTCTGACTTATGTGAAAGAAATTAGTCAATGTACTAGACGTGAGAGTCACAGTGCTTGTCACCATTTTTGGGAAACTACTGCACAGCTTCTCCTGACAACACGGCTTAAGCTACAAAGTTTTAATCATCTTTCCTTGATCACACTTGGCTGAGTGTTTTCCACTTACTCTGTCTCTTAGCATGTGCTGTTGTTTGAATATCCCCCTCCAAAATTCATGTTGAAATTCCATTGCTAATGTAACGATATTGGGATGTGGGGCACTTAAGAGGTGCTGAGCTCGTGAATGGATGGATGCTGTTATCATGAGGGTGGGTTAGTTATTGCAGGAGTGGGCTCCTGCTAAAAAGGATGAGTTTGGCCTGATTTCTTCTCTCTGTCTTGTGTTCTTGCTTGATCTTCCGCCATGTTATGATGCAGTGAGAAGGCCCTCATCAGAGGCCAGCATCGTGTTCTTGGAATTTTCAGACTCCAGGACCATGAGCTGAATAAATTTCTGTTCACTGTAAATTACCCAGTTCTGTTGTAGTGATAGAAAATGAATTAAGACAGCATGTGAGGGATGCCCAGTCCTCAAAAATATTCAAATATCACCTTGTATTCTACATATCCATTGATAAAAGCTGATTGTTTTTAATCTATTGGCACAGCCCTGTAACAAAAAATGTTAAGGAGAGATAAGACTTTCAGATAATCACTGTAGTTTTCTTAACAAAAATAAGTTATGAAACAACAATAATGGCTGAATTGTTATTGGTTGACTTTAGTTTTATATTTTAAAAATGATTTTAGCCATTCTATGTATTAGAATCTACAGGCACTATGATACGTATTTTTTAGCTTATAATTATATACACACATATGTAATATTATCCCAAGGTTAGTCTCATCCCTATTGATATCCAGGATTATTACTGCTTATTAGTTTGTGTAATGTTATATTTACATAAGTAGAATTAAATATTTAAATCTACAAATAAATTTAAACATATTTTAAATATGTGTATGATGGGATTTCTCCCAAATTTTATAATATTAGAATGAATACTATAACATCTTGAGAAATAGAAAGTAGATTCTTTCATGCAGGGTTGATTAATTAGTTTAAATGGACAGAATGAAGATGCTGGCAGTAGGTTCTAAAAAAGCAATGATTCATGGCATTTACTGGCTCTGAGCCCAACTCAGCACCAGAGTTCCCTAGAAATTGCAGTCCTTGTGTCCTAGACTGCCTTTCAGTTTTGCCTAGGACCCCGAAGCACTTTGGCTTGCAGTGTGGCAAGGCTTGCTGAGAAACTTAAGTTCTAGCTGCTGGGATGGGTGATTCCCCTCTGGCTATGGCTGGTCCAAATTGTTCCCTCTGTACACAAGTACTGGCTAAGCCCAGCATGGCTTTACTCTCCTCTGTGACAGGACAGCACTGAGTTCAATGCCAAGTCCCCCAGTTGCTGTGATCTCACTCCCCCAAGTGCACAGCATCTCTGTGCCAAGTGGCCACTGCCAGAGGATGGGAGAATGGTGGTTTCAGCAATTCAAGACTATCTCTTCTACGCTATTTAATGCCTCTTTCAGTGATATAAAGTTAAAACCAGGTACCGTGATTGTTCGAACAACCTGATTTTTGGTTCTTGTGATGGTGTTTTTCTGTGTGTATGTAGTTGTTAAAATTTGGTGATCCTACTAGAGGGACAAATGGTGTAGGCTTCTTTTCTACCATCTTGCTCTGTCCTTCTCTGTGTATAATTTAAATGATCCGTAATTAAGTGAAAATTTTATTTTTATTTTTCTTAATTTTTTTTCTCTTGGCCAGGCCTGGTGTCTCATGCCTATAATCCCAGCATTTTGGGAGGCCAAGGCAGGTGAATTGCTTGAGTTCAGGAGTTAAAGACCAGCCTGAATAATATGATGAAGCCCCGTCTCTACAAAAAATACAAAAATTAACTGGGCATGATGGCATGCACTGTAGTCCCAGCTGCTTGAGAGGCTGAGGTGGAGGGATATCTTGAGCCCAGGAGATTGAGTCTGCAGTGAGTTGTGATTGTACTACTGCACTCCAGCCTGGGTGACAGTGAGACACCATCTCAAACATTTGTGTGTGTGTGTGTGTGGATTTATGGATACAAGTGCAGTTATGTCACATGAAATATATTAGTCTGGGCTTTTAGTGTACTATTTGCTTATATATTGTGGTTTTAATGCAGATTTGTTGGGGCAGGGTAACCTGCCCCCGGCCCTCGGTCAGGGGAAACAGCTCCCAGTTGCTGTGAACAGCAACTGAAAAGAGGCTGTGAGTCATGAAGGCTGAAGTTGACTGCCTTAGAATTCTTGGGTTAATTTTGAAAGGCTTTGCTTAGAACTATCAATATAGTACTCTGAACTTTCAGTTAGGACATATTGGAGGCAGCAGTATAGTTTATGAAGCTCTATAAATCCTTTTGCAAAAGCACGTAACACTAGGATAGCAAAGGGAACATGCCATAGACAAAATAAGGGTCCACCAGGGTTCCCTAAGCCTTGGATATCTCAGATATATGGGAATATGTCACTAAAATTCCTTTCACAAAATAGAACTTGATCCTTAGGAAGAAAGGAACTGTTAGTAGAAACAAAATTCAGCAGGGTTTAAAGACTGAGATTATCAGAGAATATGAATATATATATATATATATATATATTTTTTTTTTTTTTTTGAGATGGAATCTAGCTCTGTCGCCCAGGCTGGAGTGCAGTGGCATAATCTCGGCTCACTGCAAGCCCCACTTCCTGGGTTCATGCCATTCTCCTGCCTCAGCCTCAAAAGGAGCTGGGACTACAGGCACTTGCCACCATGCCTGGCTAATTTTTTTGTATTTTTGGTAGACATGGGGTTTCACCGTGTTAGTCAGGATGGTGTCGATCTCCTGACTGCATGATCCGCCCACCTCAGCCTCCCAAAGTGCTGGGATTACAGACATGAGCCACCGCGCCTGGCCAAGAATATAATGTTTCTGTATGTACACGTATTCTGTAGTTTTTAACATGGAGTGGACATAGAGCAGTAACACCACAATAGCAATGGGCACACCTAACACCTGTATTTTGGTTTCTAAATATCCTTGCCCATTAAGAAGAAGTAGGTAGGGCTCCTTGCAGGGAAAATACAAAATGAGCCTGGAATATTTAGGCCAGGGCTGAAATAAGTAAGTGTTCAAAGAATGATGGCAAAGGTGAAAGGGTATTGAATCAAGCTTAAAGGGACTCTCACTGGCCAAATTGAACATCAAACTAAATGTCATAATGATCCTTATGACTCATTGAACAAAATAGGAATGATGAGTTTGTACTTATGTAATCAAATAAGTAGATAAGGAGAGGAAAAAACTTTTCCTTATAGTAGATTGCCAGATAATAAATTAGATTTCTTCTAATAAACATTGAAGGAGTATTGAAGTTGGAAAATCACCATCTGACAAAAATGCTAAGAAATAATTCATCAATTCAGGCAAAAATGCTAAGATTATCGCTAACTTATTAGTGTTAACAGATGATAAAACTAGTAGGTGATAAAACTTGTTGGTGAAAATGGAAAGATACTGGGACATTCACAAAGTCTGAGAACCTCACCAGAAAATAGTTAGCAATTACAAAGGGAAAATAAGTAATTTTATAGAAGAGAAATCATTTTAATTGTAATTAATTAACATCACTAGTAAAGAGATAAGATTATGTGCTCCTAGATAGAATGCACTGAGAACACAGCACCACTTTTGTGAAATTTTTGTCAAAGATCTATAATCTGTATCTAATCATGTAGACACATTGTGCAGGCCCAATTTGAGGGAAATTATATAAAATATCAGCTTATAATTTTAAAAGTATTAAAGCCATGAAAATAAGACTGTGAACCTATTCCAGATTAGAGGAAACTAAAGAGACACTGCAAATAAATGCAATATCATGATCCTAGATTGAATTATTTTGCTATGAAAAGTATTACTGGGAAATTGATAAAACTTGGATGAGGTCTGTGGACTACATGATAGTTATTTGTCAATACTAATTTTGTGACTGTGATGATTGTATTGTAGTTATAAGAAAAAAAATCTCTGTTTTTAGGAAACACATAGGAAAGAGTTCAGAAATGAGGCATCATATTAACTTGTATCAGTAACAAGTAGTTCAGAAAAGAGACATTCTTTGTAGTACTAGAAACAGTAGCTCTTCAATCAAACTATAATCAATCTAAAGTATATGATTTAGCTTAGAGTTTGGTTGTGTTAAATACAATTTGAGAAAATATATGTAGAAAAACTTAGAATGGAGATGGCTAGAAAACAAACAAAAACACTCTAAGAGATATGTTTGAAAATACTTGTAGAAAACATTTCAGAAATGAATACTGTTACTTCTGGCTTTTGGTTATAATGTGGTGAGTTGTTGGAAACAATGCATGCCTTGGAAATAACTAGAAAGATGGATAAAATAAT